ATTTCAGATTTGAGGAACTGGCAACATGACTTCTTTGAATGAAAAATAATTACATTTCACTGGCTGTGCCTAGTTAGATGAAAGAGGAGTTTATTGAACCCAGCACTGAGGAATTACTTGTAAGCTCAGCTTTTTCAAGTATGGTCTACTTTTAGATTTTACAGTGTTCACTTCCTCCTGTCTTATCCGTTATTTTAATGTGCTATAGATACAGATCAGTGAAAAGTTCATTGTATCCATCTTTGTATGTCCAACAAAAGGTGGTAAGTGATCCATGTCTACTTAAACGTTTATGGTGCATTCACTGCAGACACCTGACACTGGTAAAGAGGACAAACCTGTTTCCTCACGCCCGCAGCCTCCTGTGTTTGGGTTGACTTGGGATCATTCCCTGGGGGCGATGGATAGAAGAGTATCCTGGTAGTTATACTGTTTACGTAAGCAAAGTGACTGAGTGAGCATGAGAGGGAGGAGGGATTGGATTTCCACTGAAGACTTGCATTAGAGGTACTGTTGAAATGAATCTGGTCTAGTTATTCTTCGTCCTTTAGCAATATTGTATGGACAAATAAATGTTTTAATCCTACCATCTGTAAGTTTATTTGATTTTTTTACTGGTAAATGTCAAATGTGAAACCTGTTCCCACCTCCCCTCACCTGGTCTTTGTTCAGGCTCATCTGTTCTCTCTTTCCTTCTGTCAGGCCAAAAATGGCACAGTGTCAGACAGCTGTAATGTAGATAGCATCTAGTGGTGATATGTGAGACTGCAACAGGGGCAGGTCGGCCAATCTAATTACAATTGGTAGCTTTAAGTGGAACTAAACACTTACTGTCTAATTTACTTCTGTTTTGAGGCAGACAACCTCACCAAACAGAAATAAAGGTCCAGCAATACTCTATATTGCTCTATAGTGTTGTGTAATTCAATATAATGCAAACATATTTATGAAGTAAAAAGAATCATACCCTCAGAAATGTGTACACAAAATGCAGTTGTTGTAAACACTTATTTAAAATGCTTCACTCTGCTCAGCCTTTAGGTGATAAGACGTGCTTTGTAGTGAGGGTAAATTCAGCATCAAAATGTTCCAAACAAGTCTAGTGAAAGCGTACGAGAAGGAGTGCACCACTTCATGACATCAGCAGTGGAACAGACCAATATGAGCTTCTGCATCTCCACAAACCTGACTCTTATTTGACCTGAAAATGGGCCTCCTCCTTTTCTCTCTTTCTACTTCTTTGGAATTGACTTTCCACCTCCAGAAAGTTACATATTATCACTTTAACACATATCCAGGTAAGATTTTGGTGAGGAAACAAGATTATCACATGTTTAAAAGATAAAAAATAGCACCTTTAAAAGCCTGATTTAGCACCACATAAGCAGGTGTATTTGAACATATCCTGTTAAACCTGACTAATTCCTCTGGGCAGCGGTCATGGCAGGATTCTGGCTGCGTGAGGACTGGAGAAAAATGCGGAGAATGATGTGGCTCATAACGGACAATGCTCTGTTGACTGTCTCATGCCTGTCCACGCTAATGCTGTCCTTATGACCACACCACAGAATCCCTGCTCTGTGTGACGGTGCTGTCGGACCACTGGGCACCCATGGGACAATCCATCAAACAGCCAACTACATTCCTCTAACACGGGCAGCATGGTGCCACTTTGTCACGCAGGGAGTCCGAATGGGAGACATTTTGTGGTCAAAACGATCCAGAAAGAACAAAAGAAAAACTGAGCAGGCACTGAAGTGGTTTACTGAAGCGTCATGGAGGCTTCACATGTTGTGTTATGACACTTAAATAACAGATCATTTGGGTGTGTTCACACTTGTCCTGTTTACAGCAGTTTATTTCTGATGTAGGCTTGGTTAAGAATAACTCGTTCTAGTCCTGGTTTAGGCCTAGTCTAGTCCACATATACACTACTGGTCAAAAGTTTTAGAACACCCTAATTTTTCCAGTTATTTATTTCTATTCAAGTCGTGCAAGTCCAATGAAGAGCTTGAAATGGTACAAAAGTAAGAAGTGAACAGCCAGGGGTTAAAAAACAAGATAAAAGATACAAAACACAAGTCCAAGCTCTGCCAAAACTACCTCAGGAAAAAAAACAACAAAAAAACAAGATGATGAGCTGGAAAACATGGAGTGTCCAGCACAGTCTCCAGACTTAAACCCTGATCTGGTTTGGGGTGAACTGGACAGAAGAGTGAAAGCCAAACAACCTTCAAGTGCCACACATTTATGGGAACTTGTGCAACAGACTTGGGAAGAACTTTCTGTTGTAAAAAGAATGCCACAAGTGTGTTCAGCTGTTATATCTGCCAAAGATGGACACTTTGATGAGTCAAAAGTTCAGAATTTGTTTTGGTGAACAGTAAACAGTAAATCATAAAAAACTGGAAACTGGAAATTGGAATCTGGTGTTCAAAACTTTTGACACGTAGTGTAGTTCTGGATGTATTTCCATGCCTTCCCATGGAGAAGCAGTGGTGCAGTGTGTTAAATGTTTGCCCATCAGCCAGACAGTCTCTTGTTGGAATAAGGCACATCACTCAAGGTACAGAAAAAACAAAAATGTGGCTGTTTGCTGCAGGTGTTCCAGCCAGTGAGAGCAGGTAGAGGGTGCTCTTGGAAAAATGATCAAAACTTTAGACACAATGAAATCCAGACACTCTAAAGAAGTTAAAATTGCACTAGGAAAAGTATAGTTAAAAGGCCTTTATTTAGATGGCCAAAGCCAACATGTTTCGACCATGACTGGTTTTCATTAGCCAGGCTGGCGCCACCTAGTGCCTCTGCTCAATTTCATTTCTCTCCAGCGACTAGGTCAGGAATCAAAATACACAAGACAGTTAGCAAAAACCCCGTAAGTGCAAGTTCGGGCACCAGCCAGTCAGCGAAGAGCCATACATTCAGTGTTGTCAACGATTCCCGAGATCGAGGATTTAAAGCCGGAATAAACAGAATGTTTGATGAATTTCATCAAGGGGAAAGATGTTATGCGCTTCTTCCTATGCTTAATATACCAGTTAGCCCCGTTAGAGGTGCATTACATACGTCACAACCAAATAGCAGTGATTGGTTAAAAAGTATCCGCCTACCCTTGAGCAAACGAAATCTAAGGCTGTGAGGTCAGACGGTTTGTATGAAGGTAAACGAAGTGAAACCGGCTAATGAATTAGGCGAGGTCTTAACCAAGGCTTAGTTAAAAAAAATGTGTTAAAAGTTTTATAACTACATGAATGACGAAGAAAAGTCATGGTCGAAACATGTTGGCTTTGGCCATCTAAATAAAGGCCTTTTGACTATATTTTTCCTCATGCAATTTTTACTTCTTTGGAGTCTCTGGATTTCGTTGTCTAAATATCACTCAAGGTCTTTGTGTCTTTGTCTTTGCATCTCTTAATAATAAATAAATATATGTCGTCAATATTATTGTTGCATTTTCAAAGTATTCAGTTGTTCCGATGTGATTTCAGACATTTTATTCTCTTCATAGGGAGATTTGTCTTTTACATTTGACCCATCTTTCAATGCTGCTGGGGCAACCATAAACTGTGGGCTAAGGGAGCGTGACGTCACCTGTAGCGTTTGGCTCCAGTCAAATGAAGCTCATGATGGTAGTAGTTATAGGAGCGAATTTGGATTAGGATTAGGAATTTATTTACAGCTGGTTAGTTATGTCTATGGGAGCAACTTGGGGAAACATGTAAACTCCACACAGAAAAGCCCTGGCAACCTGGGAATCAACCCCGAAGCTCATATAAATAAGAACATTGTTTAGTAAGCGAGTGGATATTGTCAACTCTTTCACACAGACGCTCAGGCACCACTCAAGTTGGTTTGTCCAAGAACTGAACGTGCTCTGAAGAAGCCCGAAGAAAAGCAGCAGGTGGACATGACAGAAAATGAGACTGGGTCAAGGAAGCAGACATTTGCAAACACGCAGACGTCTTATTATTGCAAAGTGAATCTGTGAGAAAAATCCATCCCGCGTCCAGCAGCGCAAATAAAAGGAACAAGAACTTCCCTGGAGACTGTAATTAGGAAGAGAATATAAATAAAGGAGTGAAAGGTCATGCAAATATGGGCCTGATCCAAGATGGTCGCTTTTTTGGAGGAAAGTGTTTAATAATCGACATCAAATTCTTGGCTACTCATTGTAATATTGATTGATTGATTTCGGTCACAGGTATATTCTGACATTATTTCAAAAGGTGTAGGCTGAAGCTTGAGCTTGACCTAATATGCACAGTCCATTTTGTTTTATAATAATCTACGCACAAGCATTTTTAAATAACTACATTTCTGTTTCGCTTTGGTGTTTTATTTAAAGGTCTGATATTACGCAAAATTGACTCCTGAGAGCTTTAAGTTATGTTATAATCTTGCTACCTTATCAAAAACAGACCTAGAGTTGTGTTTTGTTTCATTCACATATTTGAGTAATCCTTTTTTATTAGTCTGTCTACATCTCCAAAGCTCAAAATATGTCATGAACCCGCAATTTTTAAGTTAACAGCAACCTTTTACCTTTTCTTTCGCCTTCAAGAGATTGGAAATTCCAGGGTTGAAATAATTATCCAAATGATTCTAGTGAAGATGCAGGAGTTTAGAGGCAAAGTGGAGCACCTCCTGTACACCGTATGGCATCACAAGGTGGAACAGAGTGTGTGGAAGAAGAACATAGCATAAATATGCAGGATTTATGTGTTAATGAAACAAAACACAACTCAGGGTATGTTTTTAAGAGGAAACAACACTGTAAGATACTAGTAGATGAGAAAATAGCGCCCTTTAATTTAAGTTTGAAGCGTCTCCACAATTACTTTTATAGACTCGCTTCCCGCCTAAAACGAGGACTCGTATAAACTGCTGTCAGCGAGCTTCTCAAATATCACCAACACATGGATGTGGGCCTGCGTCTGACTTTGCACTCCCCAGCCACGCCTCTCCCCAAATCCCTACGCCTCCCTCTCTCCTCCCCTCTCCTCTTTCTCTCTCTGCCTCCACCGCGCGCTCACGACCCGAGGCAACTTCATAATTTAAACTTTTTTTTTTTTTCATTTGTCACAAGACTGGAGTGAGAGTAGGTTTGTCATTTCCCTTGACAGTAATATTCATCTCTCAGAATTAAACTTCGCAAGGTTTTTCCTCGTTTTCCCCTCTGTCCGGTGAGTATCCTTCCTTTTTGGCTCTAGTTTGCATATGTTTGAATGCGTGAATCCTCCATGCCGCCGTGTTACGCACAATAAATTAGATAATATTCTTTAATTATATTATTATTGCGCACTAATTTGAGTCATAACTTTGATTATTTTTGCTTAGAGAATGATGTGGTTCACTTTTACGCACAACGTGCAGCAAAGTTCCCTTGCCTCGGGGCGTTACGCACGTTGCGAGTCCAGGTTGAGCCGATGGAAATGAAAGGGGCGTTGTCAGGCTCTTCCCGTGTGAAGTGTATTAGTACAGTCAGTGAATGTATTTGCTCTGTTGAGAGGAAACCAGAGCTGTTTGTTTTTACGAAGGATGGACACAGGAAATTCGTTCCTAAAATGCTTGTGGCCACGTCTACCACACCTTCGCCTTTGTGTGCCTCCAGAGCAGTTAGATCAGTCTTAGTTGTGTATTTCCTCGTAATTAGTTGGCTATTCTTGTGGGTTAATAAGTTCCACCTGTCTGCTCGTAAAATGCATCACGGTTGAGCTCACACGAATGCCTGAAGAGAAACGAACTCACATTTAACAAATATTTTGTATTAAATAACACGGGCATATAAAAAGGCCCACAAATACTTGTACTACTACTACAGCTGCAACAACTGTTAGGCTACTATACTGCTACTTTATACTACTACTGCTAGAACTATTACTTCATACTACTAGTACTCGGTCTAGGCCTGCTACTACTTTGAGGTTTTGTACAAATAAACCAACTGAAATACACAATTACTTGTTTCCTACTTGGTAATACTTAGTGCAACCATTTTCATCCATTTTCATCCACTAACATTACATTTAAACAGGCCTATATTAAAGGTCCTATATTATGCAAAATTTTTTCTAGTGAAATTTAAGTCATGTTTTAATGTTGTTACATCATCAAACATACCTGAAGTTGTGTTTTCTTTGAGTAACACTTCATTATTAGTCTGTCTACATGCCCATAGCTCAAAATGTTCTGTTCCACCTTGTGATGTCATCATGTAGTGATAGTTTTCAAGTTAACAGCTGCCTTTGTGAATGAAGCAAAACACTAATGTTTGTGAAGAGGAAACAACATTACAACATAGATCAGAAAGTACTGTAATATAAATATCAGTGTTCCACCAAATTTTTCCCAAACTTTTTTTCTGGGGACCCATATTGTAAAAGTCACAAACCGTCACAACCCAAGTCAATAGACATTATTCGTAAATCACAAAATAGGTGGATTTAACCAGTGGATTTAATAGTGTCTCTCTGAACAATTAGAATTACTCAAGTTTTAAACAATAAAAAACAGTAATTGAATCAGCAATAAAAGGATCCATAAGTCGCCTGTTTGGGCATTAAACGTTGCCCATTTCTTTTTCTTTTCAACATTCAATTGAACCAGCAATAAGAGATTAGAAGTTATACAAAACATGTCTTAACATTTCAACCTAACATGCAGATCATGACAGGGCAACCCAAAAAAAAAAATCTCTTGCGACCCACCTGAGGGACACGACTCAGTCTTTGGAAAACAATGGTCTATTTTGATACAATGGTTACTTTGCCTAATCCATTAATTATGTATATTGCATTTATTTATTTGTACTTAATGTATTAGTCTATATGTTTTTTTCTTTCTTGTATTATTTAAATTTTTTACTGTTGTTGTTTTTGTTATTATAAAGTAAGGTGTGGTACAGTTTTTGAACCAGCAACGAAATGATCTACCTATTTGGATATTAAATGCAGCCCAAAAAAATCTCTTGCTGCCCAGTTTTTGGAAAACAATGCTTAAATTTGTGTAATATGTGGTATAAAATGCACTGGAAAACACCACTTGACACCAGAACTTGTGACTGATGCTAAATATATACTCCTGGAAGTTATTTTTAGTCTAATCATGTTGTTGATTTATCAGCACCGTCATAGTCATTTGATGTGATTCTCAATTAGTGCGCTGTGGTGGAATTCTGCACCTACATATCGAGTCTGTCAAACAGTGGGTGGTACAGGCTGCCAGACAGATGCCATGTGCCACTGTAAAACTTGTAAATCTAAACAAATTACTGCAGTAAAAGTTAAAAGTACCTCAAATTGGAGTAGTGGTGGTGACTGGCGATAAGAGACAAGCAGTAGACCATATATCACTCTTGTACTTCTAGAGATTTGGACCATGTGGAAACCATTACTGTAAAAGAATGTGGTGATACGGACCTAAAAATGTCCAACAAGAAAGGATCAAACAGATGTCTTAAAATACAGCTGTTTGGAATAATATTTATGTCTGTGGGAGTGTGAAATATCTGCACGTTATTGTGGAAAGATGTGTCTATTGTCTAAAAATAATTCTTGGTTAAGTTCCTGTTCCAGAGTGTGTAAGATAAAATGGTTTAGACTCATGACGCAAGTGCTATTGTTGATTCACCAAGCAGAGTAATTGAGTTTGAATAGAAGCTGTCATATATCGGGCCAATGTTTGCATTTTTTAGCAGAAGTCGAATTTTTCTTTTGCCAACCAGCTGCCTAAATATGCATCAAAATGTAACCGCACTGGACTGGACTCTACACAGTTTGTAGGAAAACAAAACTGAATTCTAATTAGATAATTTGGGTAAAACAACCAAAGTTTGTCCAAAAATACTGGCACAAAAATATTGGCGAAGGTCATTGGCCATTAGTCTGGATTCTAAACAATCAGTATCGGTATCGGCCATGAAAAATACATATTGGTCGATCCCTAATGTGTACTTCTTGAACTTCTAATTTGGACAATGGCAAATATTTCACACATTTAAAGAATGTCTGCAGGATATATGGAAAAAAAAAGACTTTTCTGTCAATAAAATGCACAATACAATAAAAACTAAATTACTTAAGTGAATGGAAAAAAAGAAATTCCAACTATAACAACTATGGCTGGGTATCATTAAGAAGTTGCTGATACGATACATACATCGATACATAGGCCACGATATGATACATATTTCGATACAGTGAGTTTTCGATTCAATACGATATATTTCAAAACGATTCAATACGGTTCAGTAAAAATAAAGGCTAAATCATGGCTGTGACATTAAAAGTCTTTCTTAAAGCACTTTTTGAGTAAAATGAATATGAAACACGCCCGTTTTAATCATCAGAACAGTGAAAATGTCAAATGTGTCACATAAACGAGTTTCTTTCCACTAAACAAGCAACAAAACTGTAGCTCTGTAACAAAATAATTTAGTAAAATATACCAAAAAATACTTGCCAATGATATCGATACTAAGGGTGTGCAAGAATATCGAAATATCTATATATCATATCGGTTAATGTGATGATACAGTATCGATATCATGGGCTGGTGTATCGATATATCGCCAAGAGAATTTTTTGGTATATTTGACTAAATAATTTTGTTACAGCGCTACAGTTTTGTCACTTGTTTAGTGAAATGAAACTCGTTTATTTGACACATTTGACATTTTCCTTGTTTTTATGATTAATGATGATTAAAATGGGTGTATCTGACTTTGCACAAGAAGTGGTTTAACAAAGACTTTTACTATTGTATCACAGCCATGATTTAGCCTTTATTTTTTAATGAACCGTGTCAATTTGAAGTATATTGTGTCTAATCAAAAGCTCACTGTATCGAGGTATGTATCGTATTGTTGCCTGTGTATCATATCAGCAACTTAACGATACCCAGCCCTAATCGAAACTGTATCATCACATTAAGCGATATGATATATATCAGTATTTTGTTATTTTTGCGCTCCACGAATACTAACAGATATCCTTCGTCTTGTAAGCACGACCAGAGTTTTGGTCACTGCACTCTTGAACGTTTGTTTTTCTTGCACTACTTGTTATATTATTTAAGTTTTCTTAATTTTTCTGGTCTATCTTTTGAAAATACCAGATTATTCATATTATCTAAAGTTTTGTCCTTCCAATTTCACTAACTAAAATTATAAATCAAGTTACATCCAGACAGGCACTCTTCCAATTACTCTGTTTTGAGTAGCAGTTTCTCCAAAAACTTGAGCTGCAAATGTCTGATCAATAATCTGTACATCTACTAGTAATATTATTTCTAAGTAACGGTACTGAGTTAAATTTTCCGCTACCTTTGTTGCTGCCAAGTCATTAGTTGAGTAGTTATTTGTATGTGGTTTGGTTATAAGTGATACCTTTGTACAACTGCATGATGCACAAGGATAATTTGTCCTTGTCTGTTTTGCTTTTGGTGACATCTAGTGGTGATTAAGAACATTCTCACACTTAATACTTAATCGGAGAATAAGATAAGAAGTTGTAATTTTTCATTTTTGTGTACTTTTTAGTTCAGGTGTGCCATTTTAGCATGTGGTTTATCTGTTTTTAAGTACTTTGGCGCTATAATATACACACAGGTGAGTAAGTCGCAAGTAAGATTTATAGCTGCTACTGCTTTTCTAAGTTTCTCCTTCGCGAAAAAAGAGTTGTAGTGTTGGATAGACGCGGTTGCCAGATTTGAAGGCCCCGTTAGTCTGCGGCTTAGTGTGTTAAAAAGAGTTTAAAAAGGACATTAAAGTCAGCATTTTCCACCAGTGAAGCGGTCCATGCACACACACACACAGACACACACATACACATACACACTTACACACTTACAAGCCCCCAGCCTCCCATTACAAGGCTGGATGGAGAGGAGGAATGATAGTGTTAGAGGCTGCTGTCTTCTCCTGTCTTCTCCTGTCTGCTGTACTGTCGATGTTGTGTATTTTTGTTTTAGTGAAAAATTGTGGTCCTTGAATTTTTTATGCTATTCATTGTGACGTGCAAATACTATGTTATTTTGATTGTGTAATGGACTACGCAATATTTATATCAAAGACTGCTCTATCGATATATTGCAGTGAATTAGGGCTACAAGATTAATGGCAATATGAATGGATAGAAGTGTAACAATAACCAAAATATTGTGATATCATGTTGCCAAAAGTCTC